CCCCCCCCCCCCCCCCCCCCCCCCCCCCCCCCCCCCCCTTCCTCCTTTTTTTCCTTTTTTTTTTTTTCCCCTCTTTCCCCCCCCCCCCCCCCCCCCCCAACACCACCTGTCCTGATTTTTCACACTTGCTGTCTGGTCACCCTAGTTAGCACCAGGTCCCAGCAGCGACTTCCAGCTAGGACAAACAGAAGTTGGTCTCTGGGAGCAACATGTTTCTAACAACTGCCTGGGAGATGAATTCTGAACTTCAGGGTATAGAATGGAAGATTCCCACTCCCTGGAACTAGAAACACACACTCTCAGGATGAAGAAGAGGAAGAGCTGCTCTTACAGTTAATGGGCAAGTGATTTTCTTTCTCAAACTCCAAATGCTGAGAGATACAATCTCCAATCAGTTACTCCTCTTCCCTTATCAGCCACCTGCCCTCGGAAGGTGCTGACACACTGTATTTCATGCTGGCAATGGACCTGTCTGGCCTCTGTGACAAGTGCTGATCAGTGTGTACCTCCTAGGGTAGTGGCCCCTGCCAGGCCTCGACGAACATTCATTGGAGCCACTGAGTACCAGATGCCATCCTCATCCGACGTATAATCCAAGCACTCCACAGAGCTGAGACGGGAGCGGCCGTCGTATCCCCCAATCACATAAATCCGATCATGCAGGGACACCGTGGCAACATAGCGCCTCTTACGGGTGATGCTCTAACACATTTGAAGAAGTGTCAAAGACAGAAAATGACACCAATACATTGAGAACTATCAGAGTCTCTCTAGATTATTCCATCCCTTTTTGCTGTTACACTGAAAGGGACCCGTTTATATAGCCAAAGCCCTCAATTCTATGTGGCATACTGGGTGAAAATTATATGTAGGAATCCTGGATCTGTGTGTATGGATTCCCTTCCCTATGGTCTCCCCCTCAGCGCTCCCACCTCCCAGTCCAATATCCTTTGCACTATTTATTTTGCAATTAAATTCAGTTTACTTTCTGTTGCCCCCAAAACTTCAACGTTCCAGAGATGTTTGCATTCCCTCCACTTGTCAGCGCTGTAGTAATTGTCAAGAGGGAAAGCTGGAAAGTTTGGCAGACGTGTAGGGAACATCTGGGGGGTTTCACCCCCAGAGCAGAATAGGATTTGGGAATTCATGGCATCCAGGCTCTTCTAGGAAGGAAATGCAGCTCCTCCCTCCCTTCTCCCACCTCCCCCCACTTGGTAGGGGTGGGGGTGGCTTTACATTTGGGGAGTAGTGTTCCTCATTCTCCATCCCAGGAGCCACTAGCTCCTCCAGTGACCTCTCTCCGCTATCTCCCATTACATTCAGCCACAAACATGCATGTTAGCAAGGTGTCTCTGTTAAAATATCAGTGGTGAAATAGTTATTGTTGACATTTAAATGATCATCAATAAGCTTCACAGTTTTAAGGCCCCACGGAGATGAAGGGGGCAAGCCACACTCTCATTGAGCTATAGTTTCAGTGTCTCTGCACACTCAGTTAATGAAATAATAGTAATAATTAGCCTTCATACAGTGCTTGTTATCAGCAGATCAAAAAGTGGTTAAAAAAAGAAGGTATCACTATCCCCATTTCAGATAATCAAACTGAGGCACAGAGAGGTGACCAAAATCTAGTGTGTCCTAGGACCAGGGCTGGGGACAGAACTCAGGTCTCCTGAATCCTGGCACCTCCAAAACATCACTGCATGGCTCAATTTCCATTCATAGTTTGATTTTTTTTCCTGGACCATATGAGACTTAATGGTGACCTGCAAAGGAAAGACTAGGGCTAGAGCCTTTTCTAAAAAAATTCTTTACAATGGATAAAAGAAGAATGTGAATGGTTTTTTGTAAGTTTTTTCCCTTGTTTCTTTTCCTATATTAGAAATTCAGGTTCTGTCTAGGCTCTGAGGGTATGTCTACACACCAAAGAAAAACTTGTGGCTGGCCTGCACCAGTTCACTCGGACTCCCAGGGCTCGGGCTGTTTCATTGCTGTGTAGATGTCCAGGCTTGGGCTGGAGCCATGGGTGTCTAGTTGCTGTGTAGACACACTCAATGGTGACTGTAGACTTAGTGATGTGATGATATCATAAGAAACCGAGAGTTATAGTAATTGAGAGAAGGGATTTTTAATCCCTTAAAAACTTAAAAAAACAAAAAACAAACAGCTATTTAACTTCAACAACATATTTTGGAGAAAGGATGTATTTCTTTAAAATTCCCCGACCTCATACCTGCAATTAAGGTGGGAAAGCAGATTGTGCACATGCTCTGAGACACTCAGCAAAACCAGGGCAGATCAGAGTTGACACTCCTGATAGATACTTCTGAGGTAAAAAAAAAAAATAAATAAAAAATTTTTAAAGCCAGAAACAAACAAAAACCCTTCCATTCCATTTTTTTATCCATCTTAAAAGGAGCAAAAAGGTCAGAAGCCCAATTTGATAAAGTCCTTTGCAGGTTTAAATATTATTATTATTTTTTTGGGTGCAGAGCTTATGTAGCAACTTAAAACAAATCGGCAATGATGCAGCCATTTATACAGCCCTATAATCACATCACACCCTCTTCAGTCCCTAATTTCTCCCCCTTACCTTTTCTCTTCCTCCCTCTCCCCCCACTCCTTTCTCCTTTTCTTATCTTGGAGAACATCTGTAGTCCTCTAGCTCACAGAAAATAGTAGCAAGCAGGAATGGCACTTCCCTGGATAATGAAACTGGCTTCTCTACCCTAATCCTTTACTAATCTCTATGGCTAAAATATTAAGATTCCTATATAATCCTTTCCTGTGATTTCAAAAAGCCCTACTCTCAAGTACATAAGGAGTTGCAGCTGTGCATAAAATTGGGAGTTCTTCACATTTTCCACAACTGAGAACAAGAAAGCCAAAAATAAGTAAGATTTACTTGTTGGGGCACGGGGGGAGGAAGAAGAAGGGGGACGACACATTAGAACACTGCTCATTTTAATTAAGCAGCACACAAACATCTGGAATCCAACACTTTTCCCAGATCTTAAAAAAAAACTTTGCCTGCCCTATAGTAAACATTGAAATTTACAAACAAATCAGTTGCTCCAATCAGTAGTTAGAGAGAGGCTTAAAATGGAAATCTAGACTCAACTTTAGCTCTGCAGAGGCAACACACACGTGTTTCCAACAAAAGGAAGAGTGCTCTACAGCAGTGGTTCTC